GGTCAGCTGGAGTCATCATATCAGCGAGATTCTGCATTAAATCATGAATTAAACACCATCTGACGGGTTTAACCGTCTGTTCGAGCTCGTTAACAGTCCATCTGTTATTGATCTGATCAAACATTGCTCTGCATCATATCAAAAAACAGCTCTTATTGTCAATATAGATGACCTTTATGTGAAATATTACAATATTTTAAAGTTGATTTGCAGTCCTGGAAGTGAATACAATCTAAAAAGCTCTTGTCCAGTTGCTTTGGTCAGTCTGAAGAAGTCTGGTTTCTGATGAATGTCGTATTGGAACTGCTTTATGATGGACTTTACATTAACACACGAGGGACTTTTATCTTACAATTCAGACTTTTTGAAAATATCAAATTAGGGCTGCGAAGCGATTAATCGCGATTAATAAAAGTTTGTTTACATACTATATATGTGTGTACTGTGTATATTTATTATGTATATATAAATACACTCACACATATGTATATATTTAAAAAATATATATGTATGTATATATATATTTATACTTGTATATATTTCATATTTATATATAAATATAAATATTTTGTATATAAATCTAACATATTTTCCTTAATGTATACATGTATGTGTGTGTGTGAGTGTATTTATACATACATAATAAATACACACAGTACACACATATATAGTATGTAAACATAAGCGTTTCTGTTGGCTGTGATGAATGGTTTGGCAGCAGCAGCTGTGAGATGAAGGCTCTAGTTTCGTCACTCATGCACCGCTGGTTGTCCGGTGTGTGGTCCTCAGGTTACAGTATGTTCGGCGTGGGCGTGGGGCTCATGGTGTTCGGATACTGGAGGCTCTTCCGCTGGAACCGCGAGCGCAGGTGAGCGAGCGTCACTGAGTGTCTGTGAGACGAGTCTGAGAGTCCTGATGCTTCTGCTCTTCCTCCGACAGACGGCTGCACATCGAGGAGCTGGAGGCGCGCATCTCTTTACTGCCGCTGCTGCAGGCCGAGCACGACCGCCGGTGAGGAACAGATCAAGTCTAAAGTCTAAATTCAGAAAGTTATGGCATTATATGTGTCCCTGGAGCACAAACAGTGTATGGCTCAAAATTTTCCATTTTTCTTTTATGCCAAAAATCATTAGGATATCAAGTAAAGATGGTTTTGTGCTCCAGGGTCACACAAACATGAATAACTTCCTCAGTGTTTCCGTCTTGTTTTCAAACAGTTAATAGCGATAGGTTTTTGTTTACATCATATATGTGTGTGTTCTGTGTATATTTATTATGTATATATAAATACACACACATACAGTATATATATTGAAAATATTTACATGCATTTATATTGAAATAATTCATATTATATATAAACATATTTAATATATAAATGTAACGTATTTTTCTTAAATATATAGATGCATAGATGTGTATTTATATATACACAGAGCGCACACATATACTATGCAAACAAAAACTTTTATTTTAGATGTGATTAATCGTTTGACAGCACTAGACTTAACCCTTTTCTTTATTTAAAGGCTGAGATGTGAGGTTTATTATTTTATGAAGCTTTTCAAAGCTTTATTTGAACATTTCGTACATGTTATTAGATGAACTGTTGTCAGTCATGTTGTCATTTAAAATCCAGACGTCCAAACTTTTTGAACGTTTCCAGCACATTTTAACAATACTATGATAATACTGATAACGGTGCTCATTTAGGTCACTATTATGGTGCCAAGAAGTTTTCATGAGTGAGAGTGTGTGTGCGTGTGTGCGTGTGTGCGTGTGCGCGTGTGTGAGTGTGTGTGTGTGTGTGTGTGTGATGAGCTGGTCTTTAGCGTCTGTCTGATGTGTTTCAGCTCGGTGAGAAGGTGTTTCACACGGACCGATGGGTGTCTCCGCTCACAGAGGAGCTGTTTAATCTGCGGCCGCGAGAGGAGATGCTGCGCAAGAAGTTCGGCTTCCTGCGGTACGTCTAGAGCTGGGTATCGTTTCAATTTCATCAGTTCCCTGTTTCGGCTCCAATGTGTTTAAAACAATGAAGTCAAAGATTTAGATATCAAACATATGTGACCCTGGAGCACAAAACCAGTCAATCTTTTGAAATTGAGATTTATACATCACCTGAAAGCTGAATAAATAATCTTTCCATTGATGTATGGTTTGTTAGGATAGGACAATATTTGGTCGAGACCCAATTATTTGAAAATCTGGAATCTGAGGGTGCAAAAAAATCTAAATATTGAGAAAATCATCTTTAAAGTTGTTCAAATGAAGTTCTTAGCAATGCATATTACTAATCAAAAATTAAGTTTTGACATATTTACGGTAGGAAATTTACTAAATATCTTCATGGAACATGATCTTTACTTAATATCCTAATGATTTTTGGCATAAAAGAGAAATGTATAATTTTGACCCATACAATGTATTGTTGGCTATTGCTACAAATATACCCCAGCGACTTAACACTGCTTTTGTGTTGCAGGGTCACATTTTTGTCTCTTTTTGCAAAACATTTAATTGCTGCTGAACACCATGAATAAAAATCAGCCTGCTGAATAAAAACTGGACTTGATTAAGAGCTGTTTGTGTGTAATATAGAGCTACACAACTCTGGATAAATTTAGACTTTTTATTTTTTTTTAAATAGAGGTTTTAGTTCTCTCACAATTCTGAAGAAAAAGTATTAGACAACTAAACAAAATCTGATGGAATTTTTGAATGGAATGATTCAATGACTCACTCGGGATTGACTCGTTTCATTACTGGATGAATCAGTGTGGTTGAATGAATCTCTTGAATGAATGATTCAATGACTCACTCGGGATTGACTCGTTTCATTACTGGATGATTCAGTGTGTTTGAATGAATCTCTTGAATGACTCAAAGACAAATACATGTTTAACAGCACCTTTTCACCAGCTAAAAATAAAAATGCACACACAGGAATTGATAGGTGGAATTGAAATTTTAATTTTACAAGAAGTATCTGATTCTGGAATTGATTTTCGATTCTCAATCCTAGGTACGTGTGACTCCAGCTATCCCAGCATCCCCTTCTGCGGCGTTTCCAGTGTTAGCCATGTGTTGCTCTGTTCACACTGTAAATGTTTCCATATTAAATATGATTTCTTTTCCTCTCAAACGCTCTCGTGTCTTTCCTGGTTTCTCTCTGCTTTTATTCTCAATCGCTGTGAAAACCAAAGCTGTGCGATCAGGAGAACTCTGCACGACCAGAACTGGATTTTGTGCATTTATTTCACATGAAGCTTTGAAATCTGGCCCCAAACATGTGTGATGTGTCTGTTTGTGACTGAAAATCAACAAAACAGAGGGCAGATGTTTAATGCGTCTCAGTAATGATCAGTTTAAGAAGGAAATGGATGATGTGAACTTTACAGGACGATGAGTGGAATTTTATAAATTCTTACAGGAAATATGTAAAGATCTCATGCTGTTGGCAGTACTAAATACAAAAAGATATTTCTTACTTTTATGTCTATATTTCTGCAAGAAGCTTGTGAACTCAGCTTTATGGTGCACTCCACTGGATATGAATTCTCTTCCAGAAATCAGGATCTTCAGGAAGAATCCAGTGTCAGATGTGATCCGGTTCATTCTGAGCTCTTCAGTCACTCTTATAATAACTGAATGTTCATCAGATCAAGTGTGATCTGCAGGATCTTCTCACTTCTCTTCATGATGTTTCACACAGAATCACATCAGCTATCAGCAGCATCCACTAACTAACTCACACTAGTCCTCACACACTAGTCCTCACACTAGTCCTCACACACTAGTCCTCACTAGTCTCACACTAGTCCTCACACACTAGTCCTCTCACACTAGTCCTCACACACTAGTCCTCACACAGGTCCTACACTCATCACAGATCAGACCAGAGCTATTAGAACTAGTTAACGAAGACTACAATAAAATAAACAAAGTTTATTTCAGTTAGTTTATTTTATTGTGTTTAGATTAAACTCAATGAAAAAGAGAAATGTTTCCGTGGCAACTAGCTGAAATAAAGTTTAAATGAAATTGTTTAAAGTTTAAATTTTATTTCAGGTATTTGCCAAGGCAACATTTCTCTCATTTAACTAATAACTAAAACTGAAATAAAATGAATAAAACTTATAGAAACATAAATAAATAAATACCAATTAAATATAAAAAAGATATCAAAAGCTTTAAAATGTAAACAAAATATAAACGTAAAACTCGTTCAAAATCTTGATGATAACTATAATGTGCTTCTCTGCTTCACAACAGGAACATTGTTCAGGATTTGCATTTCTACGGGATGAGGAACTGTTCCTTGTTTCATATTTAATAATAATATCTTCTCATTTGCGTGAAGGCTACATCAGTGCAGAGTATTATTATCATAATTCACAGAGATATAATACTGCAAACACAGCACTGTCGTGAGATTCTGTCGGTTCAGTGTGAGGGATCGCGTCAGCCAATCAGCGGCCTCCCCCCGGTCCTGCGGCGCTGTGATTGGCTGTCAGCCCGACAGACCCTCCCATCATCAGCAGCTGCTTCTTCAGATCGAGACAGAGAGTCACTCTGGAAGGAACACAAACACAAACTCTGTTCATCTGTTTTCAGATCAGTGAAGATGAGCAGCAGGAGTCAGGAGAGTGTGCGCGAGCTCAGATATCTCAGGTAACACACACACTCTCACACTCTCACACACTACACACACACTCTCACACACTACACACACACACACACACACACACACACACACACACTCACTCACTCACTCACTCACTCACTCACACACACACACACACACACACACACACCTGTACAGAAGAACTTCATTATCTGTGAAACTAGAGTGAATCTGTCACAGTAACAGTGCTTTATTTCTATTCTGTTCATGTCTGTTCAGCTCTGCTCGTGTGTTTTGGCTCAAACTCTGTGATGTAGAACTGGTTTATTTTCTTGTTTTATAGCTGGTTTCAGCTCAGAGACACAGGTTGTTTTAAAAGCTGATTACAGCAGTTCGTCTGGTTTATTCCTGCCAAACTCTTTTGTTTTCGGTTTCAGCATCTCATTAAAAATGTTTTCTTTGTCTATTTCTGTACGTATCTGATGTTTTCTCTGAGAAAACAGAAGAGATATGAGATTCAGACGTCTTCTAAAACGTAATGAGCTCTCTTCGTTATATGTGTGCTGCTGATGATTAATGTGGAGAATCAAAGACATGATAAAACTTTATTAGAAGTGTGATAAGTGTCTATAAAAGCAATAGTTCAGCCAGAAATGAAAGTGTGCTCACCCTCAGTTCATCTGAGATCAGGATGAGTTTGTTTCTTCATCAGGTTTGTAGAAATGTAGCACTGCATCAGTGTCTCAGCAGTGGATGCTCTGCAGTGAATGGGTGCCGTCAGAATGAGAGTCCAAACAGCTGATAAAAACATCACAATAATCCACAAGTAATCCACAGCACTCCAGTCCATCAGTTAACATCTGGAGAAGACAAAAGGACTCTCATTCTGACGGCACCCATTCACTGCAGAGCATCCACATTTACAGCACATTTTCACGTTTGGCTAAACTATTGGTTTCAGCTGAAGGAGAGGCGGATGTGTTGTTGTCATTTAGACGGGTGTGATTGTGGGTGCTTGGGTTTCATGTTAAAATAGAGCAGAGTTTACTTTATTCAGACCTTCTACAAATACACACTCGTCCAGCCAGATCTGCAGCGTCTCTGTCTCTGTCTCGCTGCGTCTCCTGCGGCAGCAGATGTTCCTCAGAGCTGATCTGCTGTCCTGCTGATTCATCAAACATGCATTTACACTCTCAGATCACACTCACATCCGGACAGTTCCACTAAAAACTGTATTCCCATACGGCAAAAATAAATAACTAATCAAATATACTTTTAAATATATTTTAAAATGTACAACAAATGGTCAAAAAAATACACACACATATATTATACAACAAAAAATGGTCAAAAATAAATTGGTAAAAGATCTAGAACATTTGTGTCCCTGCAGCACAAAAGCAGTGTTAAGTCGCTGGGGTATATTTGTAGCAATAGCCAACAATACATTGTATGGGTCAAAATTATACATTTCTCTTTTATGCCAAAAATCATTAGGATATTAAGTAAAGATCATGTTCCATGAAGATATTTTGTAAATTTCCTACCGTAAATATATCAAAACTTAATTTTTGATTAGTAATATGCATTGCTAAGAACTTCATTTGAACAACTTTAAAGATGATTTTCTCAATATTTAGATTTTTTTGCACCCTCAGATTCCAGATTTTCAAATAGTTGCATCTCAGCCAAATATTGTCCTATCCTAACAAACCATACATCAATGGAAAGCTTATTTATTCAGCTTTCAGATGATGCATAAATCTCAATTTCAGAAAATTGACCCTTATGACTGGTTTATATATATATTTATTTATTCTAGATCTTCTACCAATTTATTTTTGGCCATTTTTAAAAAATATATTCAATATATTTGAAATATATTTTGGCCTTTTTTTTTTTTTTTTAGTAAATGTATCTTGATTGAAGGATTTTTAGAAATTCATAATGGAAAACAAGACAAAAATACTAAAAGACAAAAAATAAAATAAAATAACAAAAGCAGTGTTTGCAGTGCATCATTATTATAGAAAATCACCAAAAACCTAAAACCTGTATGCCGTTATTATGTGGTTATATCATGTTATATCACGTGACTCGTTCTCTATATTCCAGCTCACATGATGCTCTGTGTGAGGAACAGACTGGATATGAAATGATGAATTCTCAGTTCAGTATGACTTCATGTGTGTCTGTTCCTCACAGAGAAACTAGTGCGTTCCATCAGGAGTGTGCCGTGATTTCAGAAGTGGTGGAAATGTGTTTATTTGATGCTGTACACAGATGTGGATCAGAACCCAGGACTGAGTCTCAGGAGGTTTAAGTGAATGAATCCGATCCGTGTTTCTTGAAGATGTGTGGAATGATCTGTGCTTGGATCGATTCCCTCCATGAGTTCAGGAACTGTGGAGTGGAGCGTCACGGGAATCACTCTCGATCCGATCACAGAAGGTCAGAGGATCCGTCACGCGGAGCCTAAAATCACCTTCTGGCGCAGTATGTGGCTCTTGTTTTCCAGAACAAATATCTAAAGACTACTAAATCAAAATGACTTGATATTCAGTCTTGTCTTCTGAAAAAAAAAAGGATCAAATTGAAGTGAGTTTATGCTTAAAACAAGAACAAATATCTGCACTGGGGTGAGAAAAATCAGCTTAACTCAAAGGAAAACAAGTGTTTTTTCTCACCCCAGTGCAGATATTTGTTCTTGTTTTAAGCATAAACTCACTTCAATTTGATCCTTTTTTTTTTCAGAAGACAAGACTGAATATCAAGTCATTTTGATGACCCTGCAGCACAAAAGCAGTGTTAAGTCGCTGGGGTATATTTGTAGCAATAGCCAACAATACATTGTATGGGTCAAAATTATACATTTCTCTTTTATGCCAAAAATCATTAGGATATTAAGTAAAGATCATGTTCCATGAAGATATTTTGTAAATCTCCTACCGTAAATATATCAAAACTTAATTTTTGATTAGTAATATGCATTACTAAGAACTTCATTTGAACAACTTTAAAGATGATGCACCTTCAGATTCCAGATTTTCAAATATTGTCCTATCCTAACAAACCATGCATCAATGGAAAGCTCATTTATTCAGCTTCCAGATGATGCATACATCTCAATTTCAAAAAACGGACCCTTATGACCGGTTTTGTGCTCCAGGGTCACATATATACTGGAAAACAAGACAGAAATACTGGTTTATATATCATTGCACTCCATGTGCTGATTGTCAGTGTTTCTAGAGTCTCTCGTTCATATCTGTGTGTTTTCACAGTCGTGTTTAACCAGGTTTTTCTAACTTGTCTTGGTTCTGATCATATTTTTAGAGTTCATCTCGACTCATTTATTTATGTTTTGCAGTAAAGAGGAGGCGGTTGCCATGGAGACGGAGTTGCTAAGGGACTATGGTTTCGGACGGCAACAGCTGACGGAGATGCTGGGACACGCGTGTGCGACCGCCATCACACAGGTCTGTAGAGATGAGAATTCAGTTACACTTTATGATGCT